CTACGATATCACACTGATACCCTCTGACACCCTATCTTTCACCCAGCTGACTTACCACCAGCTGACCATCATATCGTCGCCGCCGACCATGCCTCACAACATGCTCGTTCGCCGACCCCCTATTAGGTCCCAGCAGTCACCCGACTACTGTAACCGCCCCCCCCGTCATTTCCCCTAGAGAATGACAACCCAGCCCGATCCATTTATCCGGCACCCTACCCCCTTGGCCCGTAGGTTACCCTCTTCCTCGCACTCGCCAGCCCTTATATCCTGGCCTGTCCGACGAACCCCGATATACCGTCTCCATTAAGACGCCCAACCACAACCACACCCAGACCTGAATCACACCCCGTCCCCTACCAGCAGGACACCCCCAGTGATCCCTCCACACCCAATACCCTTTCCCTTTCCCTCCCAACAGAGCCAAGAAGGAACCACACCAACTGATACACTTCCCACCTCCTACAACCATCGACTCCACACCGCTGTGTAGTCACCACGACTCCTCTCAACGACCACTCTCATGTACCCCACAAACCATTCCCACATGGCCCCTTTTCCCAACCACACACGCGTTCCCACAACGCGACTCGGCCCCCCAAGACCGCCGAATCACACCCCCTACATTTCCAACTCAACCTCACCACTTTCACACCAACACAAACCAATACGAGTCCTATCCTCCCACACCCATCCTTCCCCTCATAAACCAAATATTCTCACTTCTAATAGTCCCACGATGTCTATCACTCAACTTACCAAGCTCCAGGCCCAGTGCCTCACCCAYGGTCACCTGACCTACTCCTCCCTCCCTGGCTCACCCGAGCCCTCCCTAACCCGTGTCGCCAAACACTACCTAGACACACTCGGATCAGCACGCAACACHGCACCTCGGAACATCCTCCGTTCCTCCCCCCACCCCCGTTACACCTACCTCACGACTGACCTCACCCTTGAGGTCATCCATTCGATCATCCCTTGGTCCGATACCTCGGACMCCCTCCACTACGTCGGTTCCCACACCGACAACATCACCACCTCGACTAACGTCATTTTCCCCTCAACCACCTTGGACAGTGTTGTCCTGAGTATCGCCCCCAAGTCCTCTCTTGACGGCTTCCGTACCTGGACTAGTGACGACAACCTCCCCGACACCTTTACCAGCGCCTCCAACCCAGACACCCAAGTCAGCTCCGACACCCTCCAGCACAACGGCACTGGGTCTTCCCTACCACATTTCATCCTTATCCCCGTTTTCTGGCCTACCCTCGGTCCCATCCCCACCGGACTCAAGGCAGGTACCCCCTTACCCCCAGGCACCTACGACCCGGGYTTCTCTACTTGGTGGACTGCCATTAGTTTCCTTGCCAAACACCACGGCGGCTACTCCCTCCACACCCACCACTCCATTTTCGCCCCATCCAACTGGCAACCCAACAACGCTKGCMACGACCTCCTCTCCAGTSTAACCCCAGACTCACTCACACCCAAAGCAACACTCACCACCACCCTTTCCACCAACCCCACAGCCAATACTGAATGTACTCCCCACATACAGGAATCCATCCTCAGTAAACTCGAACGCGCAGCCCGACATTTCCCACTACCTGCCCATCCTACCCCGAGCCCCGCAGAAGCGAACTTGTCCCACACTCACCTCAC